AATTCATGATTTTCTCTTTTATTTTTCTCTATGAAAAATTGATCTTTTTTAATTTTATTGATGGAAAATTGTTCTACGTTCTGAAATATACAATTTTAGTCAAATATTTTTTAATTTCATGGAAAAATAAGCAAGTTATGATCAATGGAAGATGGTATAATAAAAAATGCTCTAGGGCTCGTTTTCACGTTGTGTATGCTGCGATTTTGGTTGAGTTTATCATGGGATCAGACACTTGTCGCGCGCTGATTTGGTGATGTTGTTTTTTGTCTTATTTGATTAATGAAGGAAGAAGACCAATTGATAGAGTATCACGTTCTTGTTGCATACATAAGCGTTACTTGCATTTATTTATTTATTTTTATTTTCATTGTTTTAAATAAAAAAATCAAACAAATAAATATGGTGGTCCCCCCTCCCTACTGCGTGTCTGTTTTTCGTTGGCCCATTCAAAAGAATTTTTGCAGCGCTTTTTCCAAATAAAAACTGTTACTTATTTTTATTCTTTTTAATTCCCTTTATTTTCCTTTTCTTCTCCAATTTTATTTTAATAGTGTAATTATTCAAAAATCACCAAAAAATTCCTTAGCTTAATTTAACATGCTTAAAACTTATTTCTGAATTTATTTTATTTTTAGGATTTTTGTGTTATTTTATTGAGTTAAGTTAGTTAAATGTGATATTTAGTTATAGACAATTGTGTAGGTTTTGTTTTAACTTTATTTTTAACATTTCCTTAATTTGAAAAATGCACAAAAAAATATTGTTATAATCCTTAATATGTTGAATTAATTTTACTATTTTTAAATTAAATTTATCATTTAATTTATCTTGTTTTAGAAAATTGTTTATGTAGAGTGTTTATTTTGGTTGTTTTCTTATATTTGCTGAAAGTTTGATTTTATTTTCAATTCTCTATTAAATTAAAAAAAAAGGTTTAGAATTATCACATGTCTTAAGGTCATTTAGATGATTTTTATTTTATATTACCTTCTGATTTTTTTTTTACAAATTTATTTGTTTAAGGTGTCTAGTTTGATTTACTTTTTAACTAGTCTCGATATTTTGATTTTATTTGTAATTTTTCACTTAAAAAATGCCAAAAAAATATGTTGATATTCTTGATTATCTTAAGCTGGCTTGAATATATTTATTTCATTTCTTCTTGATTGATTTTCTTATGTTACAAAATTATTTGTCAAGCATGCTTCAATAAACACTTTTTGGTGTTAGTTTTGATCTTTTGATTTCAGTTTCCATATTCTTTCTATGTAGAAATTATGCAAAGAGATGCTTCTGACTTATAAATGTTTGAAGATCATATTCATGATTTTTACTTAAATTTAACATCACTTTTTTTTATTTTTACTTGATTTAATTTGGAAATGTGTCAATTGATTTTTTTTATCAAGATTTTGAGTCAATTCTTGAGTTGCTTTGCTCTTGGATCAATGACTGAGGAAAGATAAGTTCAATGATAATACCTTGAGGTTTTGAGGATCAATTGACCTCTTGAGCTTAATTCTTCTTTCGCATTTCATCTTGAACACGCTTCTTGTCTAATTGAATGTTGTCACTTGAGATATAAGGTATGCACTTGGTGTAATCTATAAGGAATCAAATTCCTTCCTCTTTTTCCTATTCTCAAAACATGTTATAGGTCTTGAGTTCACCTTGATTGAACCATTCAAGAATCCTAACATTGTTTCATCATTTGCTTAAGTCTTCTTGAACTTGCTTGCTTGTTTGCTTGACTTCTTTGATCTATCTTTGGTCCATGCTTGAACATTCTTCCTTCATCTTCATGAATTACTTTATTGAGTGCTATTTGATGTTGTTGCTGCCCCATTTAGCTTTCCATCTTGTATGTCTCAATATGCTTTTACACGCTAAGCTTTGGTACTTGTTTGTTTGCTATCTTCTTGCCTTTGCTTGCTTGTATGATGATATGCTCCCTTAAGACTTAGATCTCATCTTGTTTAAGGTGAATCAATTAGACCTTAGGTTCTTATCTAAGCAAGTCAACATTAAGTAGCACTCTTTCATCCTCAACCATAGGTCTGGCCCATCTTTTCATGCTAACTTAGATAGATGTTTCCCTTTCATCCTAACTCTAGAGCCACCATTACATGACAATATTAGGGTCTCTAGTCTCCCTTAGACTTTTTCATTCCCCTTTTTGCATCTTTAAAACTAAAACTTCTTTTTCTTAATCAAAACTCAAAACACTTATTAAATAAAGATGCAAATCATATGGAGTTGAGTCTTTTGGGGTAGGATGACGCAGTACAGACTAAACATTGTTCTTTCTTCCATTTTTGGACTTTATTACGACTCAATTCGCAAATCCTTTCACAAATAAGTGCAGAATTAGTGAATTTCCCTCCAGTGGGATTCATTTGCTATCATCCCAACAAACACACTTCAACTCATACAAACCTTTTTGTACACTCGAGCACTTTTTCTCTTTAAAACTCTTTTCATAAACGAATGTGTTTTAGCCATTCCAATACGAAGCGAACGACTTAGGCATCTCATATGAGCAAAACATGGAAATGTTCCAACATTTGGAATGTCTAACGCATCATTCGCATAAAAAACACACAACAAACCAAAAACATTTTAGGTGAACTACGAGTGTCCTGATCCCCTATTGAATGAAAGGTGGTACGTATGCACGAACGTTCGCAACCGCAACATGCACAACTAATAAAAAACTTTATTTTTGTGTATATACTTTGCATTCATGAATTTCCCCTTAGCAAGTTAAGCTTTAGATATAAACACACCCTTTGATTAGGACGACACGAGTGGATCATGTGGAATACCACGGACGTGAGGGGTGCTAATATATTCCCCTTGCATAATCGACTTCCTTACCCAATCTCTTGGCCGCAAGACCTTGATTTCTCCTTTCTTAGGTTTTCTTCAATGTTTTCCTTTCTCTTCTGTGTGATAAATAAGTATTCTATGGCGAATTCGTTGTTTGATTATTTTCCGAGTTGCTTCAGCTGACGTCTTCATTGGGGATAATCTAAGTGAGTCAGTCCTAACTCTTATTTGTCGTGTTTTTGGGTGTTTATTTCTTTTTAGCTTTATAGCTTGTTCATTTGTATATATGACCATCTGTGTATATGTTTGCATGCATTGCATTTTATTGTTTTCTATGTTAGATATATTATTGTACCATGACTCCAACATCTTTGCATTCAAACTCAAATATAAATTTTGCAAAATTAGCAAATTTTTATATATCATTTTTTAATTTAAATAAGGGTTAATAGATATTTTACTCTCTACCATATGAGCAAGGTTTGAAAAATACTTCTGTAAAAAAAAGTTTGGATTCGTCTTTTAACATATAAAGATTTCACTATTTTGTTCCTTCAAGAAATCAAGTCATGACAATCTATGACATGACAATAAATTTTTTTTTACTTCTTTTATATTTTTTATTGATGTGGAAGCTTAGTTGGCTTTTTTAATTATTTATTAATTTTTTAAAACAACATAGTTTTGTTATTATTATTTTATTAATTGTGTAATGGTTAAAACTAAAATTTCAAAAATTAATCCCAACAAAGTTTGAATGCATGAAAATACAGGAGACACTTTTAACTACTAGGACACTTACTTTGTTTGTGTATTCCTTTACATCAAATATATTATGTTGTTTATGTGTACAATTATGTATATATTATATATTATGGTTTACTATTATCTATTAATTAGCGTTTTATTTTATTGTTAATATGTAATAAATATTTATTAAATAAATTTAAATTTAAATATTTAAAAATTAATATTTTAAATAAAAATTAATATTTTAAATATTTAATTGTTTTATGTTTTAAATAAAAATTTAATTGTTTTAACTGTTTTACGTTTTAAATAAAAATTTATATGTAAATTATTAAAAATATGCAAAAGTTATTAATTTACATAGTTAGCCTAAAATTTATTTAGAAGTAATATTGTAAGCTAACTATTAAATAAAAACATTTAAATAGTATTTTAATAAAAATATTATTTAAATATCAGTATTAATAAACATATTTAATAATATTAATGGACAATATTATTTAAATGTCAGTATTAACAATATTATTTTAATAAATATATTTAAAATTTATTTAAAATAATATTTAAAATTTCTTATTTAATAGTTAGTTTACAATATTACATCTCAATAAAAAAATTTAAATATTTTTTTAAATAATTTTTTTAAATATAATTAATAAATAATAGTTATTAAATATGTTTATTAAATATTGATATTTAGATTTAAATATATACATTAAAATAAAACTGATATTGTATGCGCTAACTATTAAATAAAAGTTTTTTAATAATAAAAGTTTTCAACATATTATATAATAAATATTAATTAAAAATATAAATGTGATAGAGACATTTAAATTTTCGACAATACTTTTGAAAAATTAATTATTTAATAAATATTTATTACATATTAATTAACATTTTATTTAATTGTTAAAATGTAATAAATATTTATTAAATAAATAATTTTTTAATTATAAAATTTTAAAATATAAATTTTTAAATTTTTAAATATTTATATATAAATTTTTATTTAAAACGTAAAATAATTAAATATTTAAAATATTATTTTTATTTAAAATATTAATTTTTAAATATTTACATATAAATTTATTTAATAAACATTTATTACATATTAACAATTTAATAAAACGATAATTAATATATAATAGTAAACCATAACATTAAAAATATACATAATAGTACACATAAACAACATAATATATGTTTGATGTAAACTAATACACAGACAAAATAAGTGTCTTAGTGGTTAAGTAGTGCCTTCAGTTTTTCAAACTCAATTATATTTACCAAAATATCGCTTACATTTGAGATCAGGTCTTGCACCAAAATATACATTAGTAGTAGCCTCCACTAAAGATTGATGAGGAATGCTTTCAAGTTCTCTTGTTGGTGTTGAAACTTCTACATTTACTTGCTTATTTTCTAAAGCGTTCTTTCTTTTCCACCAAAGAACAGCACTTTGAACATACACATATGCATGCACAAATTAGAAACATGTACCACATAACTTTGAATGTCCAATTATACACTTCACCTGAGTTGTTTTCCATTGGATAAACATAGTAACGGGTTAAAATTCCAAAAAATAGGAGAAACATGATGAAAGATGATGTGATTATGGCACTAAGCCATAACAAGTTATTTGGGCCTAATACAAGTGAGATAGGAGAATCTGAGAGGTTTGGTTGAAACCATATTGTTTGGATAGGTTTTTGAGTTTCTATTGAAGGTTCTTGTTTTTCTCTTGTGATGTAAACTTTGATTTGTAAATGAAGGTTTGAGATTTGAGTTGTTGAACCAGAAACAGGAAGCATAAGACTTAACATTGTTAGATCAACATAATTCTTCAAAATACAAATAAGTAGAAGTTTTGGAGCTTGGAATTGTTGTTGTTGGCTTTGAAATATGAGATCTCGGATTATAGATATGAAGGGAGTTATGCCACTTCCACCACTTACCATCACAATTTGTTCATGCCTGTTTTAGAGAAAGAACGATGATAAATTATAGTAGCATATAAGTATCAAGAAGAAGCATTTTGCTATGAGTATATACCAAGTTAATATTAACCTTAGAAATTGTTTAGTATGAGGTCCATAGGGTCCTTCAACAGAAACATTAAGATGATCCAAATATGAAGAAGAAAGTTGTTGATAAAGCTTGTTTGACCAGCTACCCACATTTTTTATGGTAACACTCAGATTATTAGTTTCCATATTACAACTAGAAGTCACTGGAAAAGGGTGCCATTGCAGCTTGGAAACCTATGGAACATTTATGAACACCAAGCTTGTGGGGTTATAGTACAAACCTAAAGTTAGAAATTAAAAAAAAATGAAAATTTTGTTAAAAGTACTCATATTCAAATAGCTCAATCAAAACATACTCATATTCTTCCACATAAATAAACACAAGTACAATAGATAAATTTATGATTATCACTTACTAGCATTTTGTGGAGATTGTAAGTGATCTTACCGAATCAAAGATGGACTATCACAGCTAGCTCGGGCAGAAGTTGAATGAGATGGGGAGGTACCTGCAAGACACTCTTATGGCAAAGTAAGTTGCGGAATGAGCAAGTAAGTATGAGTTCAGAGAAAGATGTTGAATACCTGACCCTCTCGGAAGAGAGGGTATTTATAGCCCCCAATGCTGGGCCAAGGTCTCTTTATTGGGCTGATCAAATAGGCCCAACATAGAGACTGCCAGGTTCTACGTGAGTAGTGGGGACCCGCACGTGCCCCCCTACCTGGATGACGTCCTCCACAAGACCAGGAGGATATGGACGCGATCTTTCCGGAACCACAAAGACTCAGTAATATCCGGAGAGGTTGGAAGTCAGACCTACGAGGAAGGTGCTCGGGAGGAGCGCCTGCTCGTCAAGGATGGTCCCCGCGAGCACCAACGAGAAACAGTCTTGGTCGACAAGGCTTCTGTGGTCAGGGTGTGTTCGAGGATAATACCCGTCAGCGCAGCAGGTTGGCACGCTTGGATTGGGCCTCACTGGAAGTTGGACCAAGGGCAGGCCCAGTCCAGAACAGGCGCCCCCCAAGTCGTTGCTCCTGGTGAAAGAGTTATGACTTGATTCAAGTTCACCCCTTCGCGAGGCTCGCTGCGTGACATGGAGTTTTTCTACCGCAGATGGAGGACGTCGTCGGTTCATGATTTTGCTTCGTGCAACGGTCGAAGCGTGTTCGAGGAGTACTCGCGGGGAGAGGATGATACGCTTGCCAGACACGTGGCGTGGTTCTTGGAAACAATAATGATGGCCTAGGGAGTAGGGGCCATCATTTCCTATACGAGTAGGTGTCGAGGAGAAAGGAGGCTTGTGATTGCTCGAGGCGACGTTTCACATTCCATGTCAGCTCTACAAATAGGGCTTCAGGGCTCATAACTTACTTTCACATTTTCACGCTTCTACACTTTCTCTGCCGTCAACACCGTGTGTTTTCCCAGAGTCATTGAGACTGCCGCATAGTCTGCCGCATACCTATCTTAACAACTGTCGCTCTTCATCTTTCCTCCAAGTAAGCGTTTTTTTCCCTTGATATCTTGTGTTGTAGATAGATTTTGATGGTGTTTAGTAATAGGATTTCGTGTCTGGGGGTTATGCCCGAGGAATTCAAGCGTTTTAGGCGTCTGATTCATGAGCATTCCCGTGGCGCTCATACGTTTAGGAATACAATTTATGATCATGCCCGTGATATTCATACGTTTAGCTAACAAATTTATGAACTTGGTCGCAAAATTCATCCTTTTGTTAGCAATATTCTTCTTGTGCCCGGTATATTTATGATAGATATAGGTGTTCGTCGTTAGGATTGGTGCTTGATCGAGGTCCACGTATTCCCCCTCTTTCATGCGAATGGCCGTCGACTTGGTCTGAGTGTCGCTTAATCTCCTCGTCTGTGTCGCGGAAAAGCGGATTTGCTATCGAATTCACCGGTTTCCTGTACTTTATGGGTAAATGGTCGATACTCTCGAGTCCTCGGAGCACATTGACACCGAGGGAACCAGCACTGCCGAGGAGAGCATTAATCTGGTTGACACCATCGACGATCCTACTATGGATTGGGTCGATGCGGAACCCCAAGGGATAGCCTCGACCTATAGTTACACCGGTAGGCAAGCTTATACGGTCGTCGAGTATGGCGACAGCCAGGAGGGGTTTCAGAGAAATTTCAAAATCATGAGGCCGACACAGGACGCTCGTATTTGCTCGAAGTTTACTCAGGATGCCTTCCCCATGTATGAGATCGTGTTCAAAGACCTCGGGCTTCAGCTTCCTTTAAACGACTTCCAGATGGGAGTGTTCAATCATTTGAACTTGGCTCCCTCCCAGATTCATCTGAATGTGATTGCCTTTATCTGGACATTCGAACTTACGTGTCGTTTTGTGAGGATCGGGGAGACGATTCCCCTGTTCTTCAGGGTTTTTCACCTACAACGACAGTCCTGAGGAGGGAAACATAGTTGAGTGTCCCTTAAGCATTCGAAAAGGCTGTTTAGGATGTACATGGATTCTATTCGAGATTTCAAGGACAAATGGTACATCTTGCAACCATCTACCCACACAGCCGTGGATTCGCTGTTTGAACCGACTACCGTGGTGGATGAAGATGGGGAGCCATGTTTGGACACTGAGGGTAATCCTGAGATGGGGAAAATCTCAAAGTTTCCCATCTACTGGTGCTCGGCCCATTACGACCATGGACCTGGATATTACCACACTCCCACCGGCGGTATGAGCACCGAGGACGAGGAGGCATATGGCGTCCTGAATAAATTCGTCGACTGTTTCTTCCCCGCTCGATGGGTTACAAGGGAAGGAAACGACATTCTTGATGAGGACGGCGAGCCAACGTTTGAGGTACGTCCGATCAACACCAAGGCGCTCGTCGAGTGTGAGTCTTACGGGCAGGCGGTAGACCTCTTAGGTTTCTTGCTTACTCTACTATATTGATAGCCTTCTTTTTTTTTTTCTTCGACGTAGCTAACCCGAGCACATTTTCTTTACAGGTCACATGGAAGAACGATGAGAGAGATTGCTCAAGTTGAACCAAGATAAGAAGATTGATAAAAGGCTGGTGAAGCCGCAACAAGCTACGCGTATGGGTCCAGCCCCTGAGCCATCTAGGGAAGGATCGAGTGGGTCCTCGGGTTCTCGTGACATCGAGCACCAACCTGCGTTGTTGAGCAAAAAATGGAGTCGACCAGAAGGCAGAGTTGATGTGACTGATGGAGGGGCCGGTGCCCGGGCCTTCAGCCTGCCACCCTGTTTTGTGGAAAAAGACTTCTTTGAGGGGTTTCCCTTGACTGTGTCCGACAACGAGGCCGATATCATCAAACGGATCAACAAGGAAGTTCGAAGGAAGCACCTCGCTGCCAGCATGATCGGGTGGTGAAGATGGCTGAGATGGAGGTTGTCCTTGCGGGTGAAGGGTCAGACTCCTCGGATCGGTTCAAGGAGCTGGAGTCAGAGAAGGCGACTCTCGTGGAAAAAACCCGCAAACTAAAAACTGCTCTTGAACGAAGCGAGGAGATGTTTCGCGAGCAGTCCGACGTGCTGCCATGGGAGAAGGAGAGAGCCGATAGAGCCCTCGAAGACAAAGAATGCCTCCATCTTGATAAGGAGCGGTTGAAGAGTGACAACCAACGACTGCTAAGGGAGGTTGAAGATCTAAGGGACGTTATGCTGCCCGCGGAGGGCGAGCCTGAAGGGGTGGCTGACTTGTGCACGTGTGCTGATTTTATCGCTCAGATTCAACTCTTGGAGTTAGACTGTGTTGATGCTTTGGTCGACGGCTTTGAGTCTGCTGTGAATTAATTGTCCATGCTGAACCCGGGGTTGAATACTGAAGGAACTGGGGTTCTATCCCATGTTTTTGATGGCCAGGTGGTCCCTCCTATTGACTCTCCTGATGTCGAAGTTGGAACTCCAGGGAGTGATTGATGTTTTTATTTCAGTTTGTATTTGGGCCTGCGTGCCCGTGATATTTGTAATATTCAGACATCTTCGACCGAAGTGGTCGCCTTTGGCAATTATTTCGCTTTATTTGATGCTTATCGTTATTACTGTTTGTCATTGTTTTTGACTGGTTATTTGATGAATACTTGGTATAACCTTTGGATATATGTGCCCGACCATTATTGCGGTCGTTTATGAATTTTCCACGAAGTTCGTGTTTTTCGTGTGGAGATATGCGATCGACCCTAATATTAGTTCGAGACACATCGAAATGTGTCGAGGGCGCGGAGTGGGAATCCGCGGGACGGGCGTATTATCGCGATCAGGATCCTACGCTCGTTGCATGAACTGCCCATCGCGAGCTGGGTTTTCTGCCATGTTGGGGTGCTTCGACAGTAGAGCTCGATTGAGGTGTCCCTGTCTGGCAAGGATGTTGCTCGTTAAAATGAACAACATCCTGCTTTTTATTGGTTGGTAGGTCGCGTCTGTACCTCGACGCACCTACGTGGTCGAGCTTTTCCCTTTGTTGACTGAAGATAAATATTCGACGGCAAAAGTCCTCAGTAGATGAGGGACTTAGCTATAATATTGTTTTAGCTTCGCAACATTCCAGGGTCAAGGTAGTGGTTCTCCATTTAATTTCTCGAGGTAATATACTCCGATGCACGTAGCTCCCTGGACGCGGTAAGGTCCCTCCCAGTTTATGGTAAACTTTCCTTCGCGAGAATCCTTCTGGTTTCTTCGCAAGACTAGATTGCCGACCTGAAATTCGTGTTTTATGACTTTGTTGTCGTGGCATATGGCTACCTGCTGTTTGAGCGTGGCCTCACGAAGGGCTGCTCCTGAACGAACTTCTTCGATGAGGTCGAGCTCATCTCTGAGGGCCTCGTCGTTCATCTCCTGGTTGAGGGGCATTTCAGTTTTCCTAGATGGCTCCATTATTTCTACCGGGATGATGGCCTCGATGTCGTAGGTCAGTCGGAATGGCGTCTCGCCAGTCTTCGAATGGGGCGTCGTGCGGTAAGCCCATAAAACATTGTGTAGTTCTTCGAACCATCCCCTTTTGGCTTCGCCTAACCTACGCTTGAGTCCTCGCAAGATGACCCTATTCGCGGCTTCGGCTTGCCTGTTGGTCTGGGGGTGCTCGACCGAGGTGAAATGCTGCTTGGTGCCGAGTTTGGCTATGAAGCTTTATAAACCTTGGTCGGTGAATTGTATGTTGTTGTTCGTGACGAGCGCTCGTGG